AATGCGTTCATCCCCTTCCAGATAGTCCCTAATATTCCCACTTTTGATGAGTCCTCTCATGGTATGCGACACTCCATACACTGTTCCCCAACCGCTTGTATTGAGGAAAACGTAATCATTTCCTATAATTGTAGCACAATATGAATATATCGATAATTTTTCACTACATTACTTGATTGTAGGAAATTATTAATTAAATACTAGTTAATTGCAAACCTGGTGTAGTTGTATACGAATTGTGTGTCGCGTGAAAATGAGACATTTGTTTGGACTCCAACAAGACCTTGATGTTTGAATCGTTAACAAACGTGACATCGCTTACAATATGAATGTCCGACACATTGGCGCTAATGATGTCAATCTTGACGGAACTGGCGAAAGGCATCGACCAAAACGCGCTGAACACGCGATTGCGAGCGTCGACACCAAACCACAGGCTCCGGGTGTCGAACATACCGAGTCCGGTGCCAAAGAACTGACCCAACGGCGCGTCCACCGTAACTGTCCCGTCAAATGTGATCCGGATATGAGTTGTGGCCAGAAATTGGTCACTCATTTGAAGTGTTTTGGGTTCAACTTCGTAGCGAAACAGTCGCTGTCCGGCGAAAGTCTGGCCACTGATCTGATAGTGGTGTGCCTTTTCATCCCCGGGATGGTTGGGTCCCACTTCCAGCACATCGGTGCGCACCCACTGTCCCCTTACGAGTGAATCGATTTCGTAGCGAAATTCGTTGAAATCCTTGGCCGAAGACACGAACACTTGTCTCACGTTTATATGGGTTTTGTTTTTAGTGAGTTGTGCACCGATCTGAACGGTCTGCTCGGCCCACACTCCCTGTCCGGTGATGTTAGTGCTGTCCCACACGCCAGCTGTAGTGCCGTCCACTATAAGCGTCGCCACCTCTTTGCCAACATTGGGATCCAATCGTCTCGTGATTCTGACGCCGGTATTCATGGGGTCGACGGCAGCGATGTATTCACTCCAGCCGTTCAGTCCGAACGCCCGGCCGTCGTCCACAGTGCGCGGACTGCGGACTAAGTCGGGCGCCTGTAGTCGCAGTTCGCGGACTTCCCCGGAAAAGTTATGTCTCTCAAAAATGGTGGTCACTATTGGGTCATAAAAGTCTCGTTTAAACGCTTTTGAAAAACTTTTTTTCGTTTCACTGATGGCTGACCTGTCGTATTGAGTGTATGGGCGTTGCGCTCATTTTGGACACCACTTACGGCCGGTTTGGGATCCTTGAGTCCAAACGATCGCAATTGTTTGATAACATCTTCGGCGGTGTCCGACGGATCAAATGTCTCGATGTGCGTGGAGTCGCCAAATGTGCGGTAAGTTATGTGATAATAGTTAGGGTTTTGGTCGACCGCCACAAACATGGAGCGCTTGAAAGGCATGGGCACTTTGATGACACCCCCTCCCGATGTGTCGTCCCCATTGCCTACCAGTGGCCACACAAATGGCGCACCCAATTGACCATTGAGTATGTCCTAAATTTTTATAGTTTAGCGTAATTATAAATTCGCGTTACATGTACTTGGTAAGTTAACATGCATTAATTGTTAAATATTGGCACTTCACAAACACTTTGACTGCACTGAACCGTTAGATTTCATACAAAGTGTCGGTTTATGGAAAATATTTACGTATAAAATCATAATAATTAAAATAGGTTCAAAAAATAGATTGATATTGGTATATGAAAATCTTTGTAGACAGTTATCAATTAAATCATATCTCAAAAACATATAAACTGTATAATTACGCTTAGTTAATTTAAGTTAATTTTAAAATTAAAACAATCTCATTGATACCAGGTAAGATATTGAGCTATTTATTGTATTTCTTGATGAATAGATATAAAAAATATAAATTATTTAATGACTTTCATTGGTATTATCGGTAATCACTATTAACTTAATAGTATTAAGACTCATGTAAATGTCGCATAAGTTATATGATTATGTATATGATTATTGTAACTTTGTTTAAGTACGTGTACCTGAAAATTAAGTGCATTTAACTAAATAAGGGAATACCTGTAAATTGTGATCAAGTACAATAATGTCATCCAGTTTAATGAGTAATTTTCCCGTCTTGTTGAACACGCCGTTATCTCTAGTCATCCAAATGGAGTCTATCTCCCCGGCCCCCAAGTGCTCGCCTATAACGCAGTGCCCAAAGAGGTCGGTGCGCAGACAGGCAAAGGGTCCGCCGTCATCGTTGGTACCCTTGCGGTCGAAACTCGAGAACTGTTTGGAGTGAACGCCTGTCCGCAAGGCACTCATGCCATTCATAAGGCGGTATAGTTCATAGCCAACCGGACCAATTGATCCAAGCACATCATTTAGTGACACCACAATCAATATAAAGCTTAAGCATTTCATTTTGAACATAATTTGCACGTTTATTGTAGAGCAAAATATGTTTGCTTTTTATATACTGTATGTTTTATATGGTTAGTATGAGAATTAAACCAAATGTTAATCTTATTATAGTATTATAATTACTGAAATGATTTTATTTTCAATGTATATTCGTTACAAAAAATATGAAAAAATACACCTGTTGAATCCTGTTAAATTATAACCTTCATTAACAATAACATGATTAAAGTGTTGTACGGAATACGTAATCTTGCAAGGTACCGTACAATATCTTTTAATATCAATACGACTTTGATCACTTTTTAAGCATTATAATTATACTATTGAAAAGTACCAAAATATAGAGTACATTGGAATTTCTTTCAATCTCTGCTATACTTTTTATCTAGTTTAGATATTTTTAAAACATAAAGTAAATAGAAAATTATCTATGATCCTTTAAGAAATAGTCTGTGTGTTAAATTCAAATGCAATCACCATATTTAAATTATATACTTATACGGTACAGTATATACCGTATTTAGACAATACTTTATACCTACCGTATAATGACTTTATTTTATTATTTTTAACCAAATGTCAAATACTGATAATTAATTAATTAAGTGGAAATAGTAAAAATGATTAATTCATGACAATATACATGTATTGAATATACACGTATGTTAATTGAATTATATTGATGTAATATTGAATGCAATACTATTTATCATAATTATTATTGAATGTCAGAGAGAATAATACACGTCAGTGTAGCACACCTAACCTATCAATTAACTACAAACGTACTGTACCTGTTGAGTTTTTATGTCGTAAATATAGTACAGTATTAAATAAAATACGTACTATTTTACTAATAAAACTTAGGATAATATTAATTTTGCCATTTAAGATAGCATTCAATTCCGTGTATTATAACGAGAGTAGGCAGTAGTATAGATTACAATCAATTGATTGAATATTGCAGTCCATTTCATAATGTATTTTATTTTATAGCACAGAATAATTAGTGGCTATTTTTATACCATAAAAGCAATATAAAGCAAGAATATTGCGATATTTTTAATATATTACTATTGCATTTATGTCTCATGTATTGATTTAATTTAATAAACAAAAAGATATGTTTGTCTTATTATAACTATACAAAACAGAATATAAATTATGAATATAATTATTATTGACTACAAAATCTATTTTTTCAGCATTATATACGCTAGCTTTGGTGATATTTGGGATTAATATCGTATCGCTATAGAAACTAATTACTATTTAGCAATATTATAGTCACTCGTGTAATACAAAATGCAAACAGAATATTCTTACAGTGAATTAGTTTTTTTAAATTAGGGTAAATAGGTCTATGTTACATATTGTATACTAGTTATTTGTTTGTAACTTGTACTGTACAGTATCTAACGATATGTTTTTAAAACAAAAGTTTATGAAAAAGTTTTTCGTGTTTCATAAGAATTGTTTAGCCATTGAACTAATTGTCTGCATATTTCTAGTGATTTTTGTCTACGAATTCACGAATGAATTAATGTATAAAAGAGTTTACTATACGTTGCATAACGTATGGAAACAATATATGATTTTCTTGTAGTTTTTTGATTGATTTTTAAGTTTTATGATATGTTTAGCGCATAAGAAGACATCACTTACCGGAAGGTGTGGTCGGTGTGAATGCCTCCAGAAGTCAGGCGTTTACTAGTAATAGACGTGTGTTTCACGAGTTTATGGATTTATTGGACAGAATTGATGCCAAAGTTTTTCTCACCGATCCCTTACTACTCTACTCATTGATCGATGACAAGCACCGGCAGGTCTTAGAGGACAGGGATTTATTGCCAGAGTCTTTACTTCATAAAATAACTAATGGTAATGAGTTTTGCCTATCGTTTGGCGTTTTTAGTGACTTCCATAGAGATAATGTAAGTTATTATTATTATTTAGTAATTATTCTGTAAATTCATGTATAAATTCCTATATTATTGTTGATTACAGAGTATAGTAAGTGAAGAAATGTCTAAATTATCGTTTAGTGAGACAAGAATTTACGGATTAGATGGCAGTCAAAGACAGTTAGGCAAAGACTTTACGCAAATAGATAACACATTACTTCATATATTTTTCACCAAAAACACGGATTGCATACAAATATCAGTGTTTTATAAACGCCACGATTTTCTATGGATGGGCTCATTGTCTGACCATTACTTAAAAAGTGATAATAATTTTGTGCCAAAAGGTATTCATTACGGAAGACATGAGTCGGCTTTTGATTCATTTAGTATAGAAGCAGTGAAAATATCCAGAAATATAACACTTTTAATGCCTGAAAAAGTTAGTCATTTTTTATCGCAATACAAGTCATCGAAATTCATTGAATGTGACTATAGTTTAGCCAAAAATTTCACACAAATGTATAAAAAAGAGTTAACAGAATCCGAGTCAATGGACAGTAAAGTGAGGGAAGCGTTGATAGCATTGAAAACGTTTACATCGAAACTCTTTATACCGTTTTTCATATCGAGTGGCACTCTATTGGGTTGGTATCGACAGTGTGGTGTCATTCCCTACACCTCAGACCTGGACACCGGGACGTGGGCTACGTATGCCAGCCCTCAGCTCATCGACACATTCATTCATAACGATGTTGTCCTCAAATTGACGTATATCTACGGTTTGGTTGAAAATGGACTACAATTTGCTTTATATACTGAACGCGACTTTAGAGTCGACTTATTCTTTACTTATACCGAGGGCTCAAACTTGACATATACGGGACATATACCCCGCGATAAGGCATACTTCCGGTACATATACCCTAACTTTACCCTATGTTCCGCTGAATTGCTTGGACTCAAAGTGTTAGTCCCATGTAATCCGAAAGCTGTGGTTAGCGCCGGTATGCGAAACATAATTATTTATTATTAATTAATTATATATTAGTGTATTAAGAATATTCTGTGTGTATTATTCAATAATTTTTATTAATTATATTTTTAACTAAGAATTTTATTAAATTATTAAATATTATTTTTATTAATTAAATTTTTTTAGAGTTTAAAGTTTTGCATTGAATATAATACAGAATATTCTGAACTAATCTTTTCATATAATGTGTTATATCTGTGAACTCAACCCAAATGTATGTCCAGAATATGGCCCGAAATGGTCTCAGCCTAAGACTCATTGGGCGTACGAGTCGTCCCCTTTCAATATGGGGGCACTTCAGCACTGGGAGGCCGGGGAGGCGGACAGGGCTTACAGAGAGTTAGTAGTATAAAATTTGTTGTGTTTTTCTTTATTAATTAAAATAT